AAAGTAGTTTCATGTGTTTCTCCAAGGCAGTTTGGCGCTGCGAACCGAGCTAGCTCAGCTTGTTGCTCTGATCATTTAAGATCCAGACGTCCGTGACTAAAATCCTTCATCCGGTTAAATATAGTTAGAAAAATACCAATTGTATAGCATTAAAGTTCAAGAAAGGATGAAGTATTTTCTTCAATTCCTGTATTTTTTCATATCGCAATATATATTGCAGGGGGGAAACAATATCGCAATGTCAGTTTTTTCCAATATCGTGCAGCCCTAATCCAATATCGTGCAGCCCAGTCGGACGTCCAATGACTAAAGTAGAGCGTTAACACAGGATCTGCTGGTCATATGATGTCCTGTGAGGAACAGAAACACAAGCAGACCGCTGGACTCAGATCTCTAGATACCTCATCACTACTCCGCTAGGCCTACATCGATACAAGTCCGGGCTGCGGTGGTTTGTTGATACATATAGTCTTCTTCTGTTTGCTTTAATGCAGGCTAATATGCAGCGCCACCATCGTCAGTAAATGGAAGTACTAGAAAGAACCCTGTTTAAGGCAGTTATTTCAAGTGTTGGGATACACAGCTCGGGAAAAATTATCGAGGTCCGTGCCTCGGTGACCACAATGGTGGCTACGCCCTGATGGCAAATATCTTCCAGTTTAAGGCCATTATAATTTCATAAGAACTGTATTGCTACATTTATGTTTAGTTATGGTTATGGTAAGTTAATTTGCTGAACAATAAAACATTAAACACATACGTATTAACCAAGCGGCAAACTGTGGGGTAGAGCCGGGAAGCCAATACGGAAGTGCCACACACTGCAGTTCATATATTGGCCGATAGGCGATGGCTGCAGAAAGGAGCAATTTTCATTATCGATATAGTTAGATTCCACCTTCATGATTATGGATCTGTGAGTGAATTGTTTTCTAACGCGACCCTTTTATTTATATTAGGTCTTAAAGTGTGTGCATAAATTAGGGCGTGGTCACATTGAGTGACGGCTCTGTCAAGTGCCTGCCGCTGTTAGCTTCTTGTTTCTAGTCTCTGCTAGCTGCTCCGTGAAGCTAGCTACAGGGACTCTGCCTGCTCAGCTCATACAGGAAACACAACTTGTAGCCGGCCGTGGTTGTTTGTTCTTCATGCTTATATATCGGACTATTGTGACTCGCTCTGCGGTTAAAACAGACGGCGCATGAATGCGGTAAGTGAAATTCGAGTGCTTTATTTATGTATTAATGATTTTAATCAGCTACGTAATGAATGGTAAGGCTTGGGTTAGCATGTAAGCTAGTGGTAGCTACATCGGTGCTAACGATTGTAATCGTAGCCTCCAAGTTAAAATCATAGACTGTATATATAAAGGTTAAAACTAAATAGACAAGTGTTAAGTGGGATAATACTGTTGAACAAACGGCTTCTGTTTGAGGTTGATAAAATAAGGTTACATCCTTGTAACTTAGAGATATTTTATTATGTAGGTAGAACTGTATGCATCTAAGGTTAATTTAAATTGGCTATGCTCAAGTATGTAGACAAGCTAATGTCGAAGTAGTGTATGTGAAATCAACCTCACAATAAGATGTGTGTATATTACAATTATTAATGTCATATTTCAAGATGATTACTTAGATATTACAATATGGTTGGTTGAGCTGGAGTTCATTATTGAGCTTACACGTTAACGTCACAGTCATCTGAAGAACGAACCCAAACCTTGTTGTTTTTATTAATTGCATTACCAAATGGGTATCAAATAAACAGTAAGCATTGGTAACACAACTTCCAAAGTTACAGTAAAATAAAAAGGCCCCTGACTCGGACAATACACAATCCAACATGTTCAACAGAAGAGAATCAGTTATATTGTTTGTACACATGGTACTTTACATATATATCTGTTTGTTTAAGGTGTCCAGGTGATGCAGACAGGCTGGACCAGAGAGTGAGAGACAGAACTGGACTCCTCACAGCAGTGAACTTCAGCACAGGTACAAAGACTCTTTTTTCATACTGTACAAGAAAGATATTGGTTTAAATGAATGAAGTATTGACTTGAATACACTGATATACATTCCATTAAACAATACTAAATACTAGATCACCTACACATCAGTGAAGTTGAGGGTTTTTTCCATCCAAAAAGTTACATTTAGATGATAACAAGCAATATGACTGTCAGCTTTCTAATTTAATGTATTGAAGGCAAAGATATTTAACAGAACTGCTACTATTTAGCTCTCAATATTGTCTGTAAAAAACGTGGTAAAAGTGATTATTTCAGTGAGACAACAGAGCAAGCTTCTACAGTTGCACTACGTTTTGATAACAGTTAAATATTATTTTGATAATAACATATATTTCAATGTTGATGAACTTCATACTGTTCATTCATAATCTGATTGTCTTTGTAGCTCATTGTTGAAATAAAAAAAACCCATTACAATTACAAAATAATTATATCTACAGCCCCTAAACACACAAACACACCGCTTTCATAAATAACACACTTGTTCTGCAATAATATGTTTTATGTTTCCTGTCATTTTTGTTAGGAAAGGACATGCCTGAAAGACACATTTTCTCCTTCTCTGAGGGTCAAGAAGAACATCCAAGAGGAACATTAAAAGCTGATGTTATGAGATTTTAAGACCAGTACAGGACATTCACTAATGGCGCATTTCCACTGCAACGGGGTAGCCCTGTTTAAGCGTCCCTAAGCGTCCTCGCTCAGGCTGCCTCGCTGGCCGTCCGAGGCCGTGGCGCATTTCCATTACAGTTTAGGACCTGGGGTAGCAACGCAGTGTAGGCGGGGCGATCGGCTTTGTTTTTGTTCACATTTCGAGTTGTTCCGTCGAGCTCCCGCTGGATGTTATCATCCCCAATGAGATGTAGGAACGTCGTCACCTCCTCGGTCGACCACGGTGTGCTTTTCTTACTAGACGTAGCCATTTTGTAGCTCCTCCGTTTACAAAATGCTGTTTATAAAAATGCTGCAAGCTTGCTTCTAAATATATATGTGACACTAGGGATGAAATCGCGCTTGATCTTGTGACGATTCTCTCTGACCAATCGGCAGTCGAGAGTGTTGACGTCACTAGTTCAGCCCTGGCCCTGGTCTGATAGAACCACGATTTTATGGGGCTGGAAAAAGTACCCGCTAGCCGGTACTAGGCTATATGGAAAGGCCACCAAAAACTGGCCTGGCCGCTTGAGGACGGTTAAGGACGCTTAAACGGGGCTACCCGCTGCAGTGGAAATGCGTCATAAGAAACTACTTTTATTGTGAAAACACAGTCAGCTGATCGAATGCAGCTATTTCTACATCTACACTCCATCAGCTGATTATTTCTATTTGCCTCACTTTATGAGCTTCACAACATGTACCTTGTTTTGCAACGTCACAAATAAATGGGCCAATCTTCAGTCAGATGTGAATGTGTAATCTAACATTTTCAGTAAGAATAATGGACAAAAGGAGTGCAAATACAAATACAATTTATTGAAATGTGAACCAAAAGTTAATCAAATGTTTTAAATAAAAAGCACATACGGACAGAAGGTGTAAACCTATTAAATGTATTAAACACATTTAGTCAAATAAAGTGACCGACTAGGCCTGTGCAGTTGGTATCAGCTTTGCCCAGCATGGGCTCCTCCATCAGGCCTGGTCCTCCTCGCAGAGGAAAGACCCTCAGTCCTCTCCAAACCAACAGACAGGACGTCCATCACACGGAGGTTTCTCCCTGAAGTCTCTGCAGCTCTCTGGACACCAGGCTGTCTCAATCCGTCCACATTGAATATGAGAGGGGGAAAATGAAAATAATAAATGCTTTAGACCAGTGTTTCTCAAACTTTTTCATACCAAGGACCACTTAACCAATAAAAAAACACTCGCGGACCAGCTAACTCCACAAATATCCAAAAACACATCGTTTTTTACAAATCGCCTAAAAATGGTACAAACAAGTGGAAACATGTGTGATGAAGGTATTTATCTGGGCTATATCATGCAATAGAAAGTGAAATTTAAGCTCGCTCCATTGCCGAGATATTCCCGCGAGAGTGCGGAACACTTTAATTAATTAATTAATTTCAAATGTGAAATTTTACCAATATACTCACGGACCACTAGGGGGCGCTCACGGACCACCAGTGGTCCGCGGACCAGACTTTGAGAAGCACTGCTTTAGACAATAAGAAACATAAAGTTGACTGTTGAGTTGCTCAGTTTTTTTAGATTGTCAATACTATTACTGTATAACTAATATCTCAGGTTAAGAGGCACATTCAAATAAAGATTGGTCTTTAAATACATTTTGTCTTTTGAATTGTTTGTCTAAAGTCAAGGATCTATAACTGGTACTTAGTTTTAATGATAGTCTGGTTATTATGCTGTTTGGAGGAGGCCTCACAGGTAAGAGCACTAACTAGCTACCATCACATGTACCTTAGCTTGACTTAAATGTATTAAACGTATAGTTAAGTGATATCAAAATATAAATAACTAATGTCATGCAAACATATTAATATTTGCTTGATTCCAGTGTTGAATTTAGCACAATTGCATACAAACGTTAAGGGGTTTTAAGATTCTGAAGTATTATGTTAAAACTCAATCACTTAGATTATTATTTATAGTTTTGCTGAATAGTTTCATGTCCGCTTACCTTAGAAACGTAAAATGCGATGGCAGCGTGCAGATGGGGAGCATGTTAGCTTAGCTTGGTAGCTTCAGCTAGCTCTGGAACTTCCAGCTCGGTGGCAGGAGGACCCGCCTCGGCTCCGCCTCTTTGCCCTTATTTGGAGCAGGCTGGAGAAGGCGGGAGTTGAACTCTGACGTCACTGTCGAGCCGTTAGTGGCCGACTCCGCCTACTAAGGGCTTCACGGCAACTCTGCAGAATCCTATGGGTGACGTCACGGACCCTACGTCCATTTATATATACAGTCTGGTATTAACCCTAGTTTCTAATATTTTGGAAAATAATATAAATACCTTGTAGATCCTCACGTGGTTGTTTTCTGGCTGGTGATTGCCTCTGGCTGGACTCACCCTGGAGATCCAACTTCCTCTTTCCTTGTGTTTAATTTTTTTATAAATACATTTTTTTTTTGTATTAAAACATTTTCTCAACACTGTTTGGATATAGCAGGTTTATTATTGTACATAACATATTAATAAAACTGCATATAATCCATAAGAAACGGTGTATCTCACCTTTATCATTTGTTTTGCTGGTGGACGGACGAACCTGAGGATGAACATGCAAATTTGACTCTTTGTCCTCTCACAGGGTGTTACAGGCTTGAACACACGTCGTCACAATTCACACACACCAACATTTGCATTTAATTTCCCATTCAAAACTCTATGGAAAATAATATATACTTCAAAAATGGCTATCAAGTGATCACATTCAGCATTCTTTTTACTGAATGAACAGCACTTTGAACAAATTAAACAGTTCACAGTTCTTCAGTTACAGGTGACTTTATCTCAGGATGCTTCAAATATCAATGCATGAAGGATTGAGTCAAGTTCAATGATAACAAACAAGGTCAATTTAAAGTTATCATTAACTGAGTAGAAACAGCTTCCTCCCATTTACATTGTGAATAAAACAAATACTCTTGGTGGCCATGTCAAATGTTGAACAGACAATGACAATATAAAAAGTGAATTAAACTGCATTCAACTAACTTTAACAGAAGATTCAGATGTTTCCGGATCTGTTGTGTTTTGTTCCTCCTAGTTAGAAAAGAAAAGCAGTATCTGTGTAAAAATGCAGATATTACCTTCAACAACTTGAGTCTATTTTTTGAATTTTGTCCGTGGTTCCACTTTTGTGGAAGTCATCAATTTCTTGATCTTCCAGATGGTAAAGACTTTCCTTGTCAACTTCGTGATCTGAAAAAAAAAAAGTAAATTAATCAACCAATTGTCAACCAATTGCAAATATCTGTACACTGAAAAAATTGATACTTTGGACCAACTTGAAAAAAATTCGCTAATTTGTTACGGCACATTTTTTTGGTTTATTCCAAATTAATTTTTTTACCTCAAAAGATTAAGTTGAGTTGAGTAAAAAAATATTAATAAAATGCAAAACCTTTATCTAATGTACATCAATACAATACTGTTTTTTGTTTTGTTTACTGGAAAAAAATTACATTTTGACTTAAACTTATAACACTTTGTTTAGAGTTCACATAAAGACAGGAATATTCTCTTCAAAAGACTTTAACATTATCATTATTGGAATGTCTTTAAAATATGCATCACCTATTCTGTTTTATAATAAAATACAATACATTTTATTTTTTTTATTAAAAATAAATACAATTAATAGAGTAAATTATGCTACCAATTTGCACTTATGTAAAAAATAAATACAAGTGTAAAGTAAATCAAGATCACTTTGAATTGTTTTAAAAAAAACATTTACAAAACTCTCCTGTAGCTTTAACCATATACATCAAAAATATGCATATGAACATGTTAAACTAGCTTGCATATCTCTCATATGTAATGCAATAGCATTTAACTGTAAAACTTTCTGACGGCGTTTAAACCAGGCTGCCTTTTAATAAAAGACTAGAATGTATAAATGACTTGCATGTCAACTTGTTTTTTTTGTTGTTTTTTTTAAACACTTATTTTAAATGTAACTTTATATTTTCTGCAGTTCTTATTTACGTCTTCAGATAAACATGTATTAGCCATTAAGAAGGGTTTAAGTAGCATTACCAGAATCTGTGATGTCACATTCTTTATTATTGTCTGCTTCTTCACGGAGGGTTTGGACGCCATCATCAGGTATTAGGATGACCTTGATAGTTGCCAAATCTTCAAGGTCAGCAGTGGATTCCAGGTTGACTAGTTTATTTTCAAAGTCTCTGTCTTGATATTGCATTCTAAAACCTCCACTTATTTCACACTTTTTCCTGACCTCAACAGTAAGCTGCGCCATTGTCTCTGGAATTCCATTAGGCAGAACTAGCTTCCTGTTGTCATCGGGTTTCAGAAGAATTAGCAACCTGGCTGGCGTTTTCACGGCCATGTCAGGCAACCCAAAAGGAACTTGAAAAAACAAGAACATAAACAATGATATTAGTAATAGTCAGGGTTCTTACACCTTTTCAAAAGTCAAATTCAAGCACTTTTCAAGCATTTTCGAGGTGCATTTTCAAGCATCTTACAGCTGTTGTAAATTACATATTTATATACACATACGCAAATGATTATTTCCCTACCTCACATTAAATTAGGGATGCACCAAATATTCGGCCACCGAAAATTATCGGCCGAAAATGGTTAAAATGGCTAAAACCCTTTCGGCCGAAAGCCGAAAGGGTTTTAGCACCGAAAAAATATCACCGAATGTCAGAACAGGCTTACATTGGTAACCTAACGTGTTGTTGTGATGTCGTAATAAAGACGCGGCGACCATGCTCGCGGCTGGCTCACAGGGGGGGGGAACATTGACCTTTGTCATCGAGATTGCCCTGAGCCTTTAACAAATCGTATTAAATAATCTGATGATAGACTGTAAACAGAATAGCTGAAATTTTAACAAACTAAATAACTCAGTTACCTCTAATCATTAACCCATGTTTGTATAATGTAGTTAACTCCGTGTGTTGCTGCTAGCATACATAACACCTGACGTGGAAACGTTACTCGTGGATGGGGCTACAGAGCTGCTAAAAAGACGGTCGAACCCGGTACATTCCTCCGTCTGCATGCGGTGCACTTTTGCTAAATGTTTAGACAAATTGCTCGTGCTTACATGCTAAACTCTTATTGCACTTTTGGTAACAAGTATTCTCCACATCGAGACGGGTACATTTTAACCACACCTCGGAGCGCGTTCTCTCCGCCATCTCCGCAGTGTGCTCCGCTGCATGTAGCAGCTGCGTGTGTGTAAACTGCCCCGCCCCCTCGCACACAGACGGGGGAGAGAGATCTCGTCTGATCGAAAATACATCATAGACGCATTTGTTGTCTTTGCATATTAGAAACGAGTTGGCGACACTAAGACTGCGATATAATGTTTTTTAGCAATAATACATGACATATATAAATGTACTGTATGCATTCAAAAGTGCTGAATAAATGTTTTATGGACCCATAATAGTGATTATTATTTAAGTTAAGTTTTGCCATAATCATGTCTATTTCCATAATCAGGTAGCTGAACAACATTGGTAAAAAATGTATACATTATATATATATATTAGGGCTGTGCGATTATGGCAAAAATCATAATCACGATTATTTGGGTCAATACTTGATATCACGATTATTTTGACGATTATTCATTGACCATTTATTGAACTTTAAAACAAATACTATTTTACCAATAAACAAGATCAACAAATATGTTGGAGCGCACTTCCAAAACCATATAAACATATATTAATATGATAAATAAAAATAAATTAGACCAAAATAAATGAAATAAAATATGTTGCAGTGCACTGTCACAACCTACTGAAAACTCCTTAACATATAGCCAACATTTTGGTAAAACATATTCAACGTATTCCACTCAGTTAAACGTTGAAGGCTGGCCCACCGTCATGGTCCAGAAGTAACAGGAAATAAATGTTGAACTACAATTTAAGACCAAATAAAAATGTTTAGGACACACCATGTTTAGGTCACACTCGTAGGGCTGCTCGTGTCATCTCTTAAAGATGTTTTGCAAGAAACACCAGCCTGTTGACATGGTCTGGTTTCAGAGATGAGCGCAGGCAGGGGACGATATTGCCACCTGTACTGAAGACCCTCTCTGAAGAGGTACGTGTGGCAGTGCTGCCACATATGACACAGGACAAAAAGAAAAGCCTCTGAACCCTTTCTTTGCCATTATATAAAAATAGTAAGTAATAAGACGACACAGATCTGAAGCTACGCAGGAATCTGCTGCCAAAGTAAAATAAAAGACTAAATTAATAGAATCAAACCCTTTTTTTGTTACATTTTAGTCGAGTATAAAAATAAATGCCTTTAAAATAGGATGCTAGCAACACTAGCTTCTTAACCTGAACTGATAACAGACTATAATCAATTTAAGTTTGCATTCTTATACCATTTTGTACAATAATTATAATGAATAAGTTCAAACAAACTCAAACTTACAGCTGATTAATAACGGTATCTAACTTGAGTTTTTATTATATCAAAAACCTGTTGAAATGCTTCTGTTATTTTTACTGTCCCCCAAAAGCACGTCGGCAGCCTCCAGGAAAGCTTCTTTCACAACTTCGCCGTCTTTGAAAGACTTCATGTGTTTCTCAAGAACGTGACTGACACGATAAGATGCTCTGGAGCAGCCTTGCTCTTGTTGTTGGGCCGGGTGAAAATGGACTGCTGTGCATTTAGCTGTCCTTTCAGGCCCCTCCCCTTTTGGAGCGTAGGGCAGAATCGGGAGGGAATTCCGTCTCGTAGCGTTTGTGCATGCACTGTTTTGAAATGCCGCTCCTAAATGACCCTTCTTCGATAAAGCCACGCTCGCATTGCAGATGAGACAGATGGACTTTGAATTGGAATAGATACAAAAATAATCATCCTCCCACTCGGAGTGAAAATTATATATTTAGGGCTTTTTTGCTTCTGCCATAATTGTGGTCTTGTGTGTGTGCGGACTGTCACTGCACTGCACTGCCCACGCCGGCCAATCACAAAGCTTTGATGCGTTCAAGTGCATTATTCTGGCACAGGAAGATTATGTTATAGGACATTAACGATAAAACAGAATATTGTTGTTCTATTTTTAGACACATCTCGCGATCGACTGGGAATCTCCCCGCGACCCTTATTTTTAACGAGTTGCTGCTCTTGTTCTGACATCTTCGCTCGCGCTGAACACATGTCACTCCCACGTGGCCGAGTGGGCTTTTAGGGAGGGGCGAAAGTACACCCAGCAAAATAATCGCGATTAAAATACGATTAATTGCACAGCCCTAATATATATTTCTATTAATGATTTTCGGCCTTTCGGCATTCGGTTTTCGGCCAACTGTTTCCTATTTTCGGTATCGGTTTCGGCCAAGAATTTCCCATTCGGTGCACCCCTACATTAAATCAGATGTTCTTTATGCTATAAACAACCAAATGTGTGTTTCGTGATAGCATTCTACATGAGGATGACAAATTAAAGAAAATAAAACTAAGTTTAATATTTCAAAATGAGTGACCTGTACGTAGACTGGGCATCCCATATAACCTGGCTGAGCCGATATAAAACAATCAGCCAAATAACTTTTCCATACATTATTGATTACTATTTTTGAGGTACTTTTAGGTTGGCAGTGAACATAAGTCAGAGGTAAATGGTGTACTTTTCCTCCACTACATGTATTTAATCCCTTTAGTTACTTCACAGATGTGGATGAATGATGTGAAATCTAATCAAGTGTTAAATCAGACTTTAGTTCCACCTGGAGTAAATCCACAAGCTACCCTGCAGTATACAAAGTCATTCAAACTAGCTGCACCTTCACCAGCTTTGAGAACACTTTCATGATCAATCATTATAAAACATATCATATATATTATTCTGAAATGGACCAATCTGCACAACGAATACTTTTACTGTTGCTACTTTCACTATATTTTGATGAGAATACTTTTCTACTTTTACTAGAGGAACATTTTGAATGCAGGACTTTTACTGTGACAGAGTATTCCTACACACTGGTACTTCTACTTTTACTAAGTACAAGATCTGAGTACTTATAATTTCACCACAAGATCTGAGTACTTGTACTTTTACTCAAGTACAATATCTGAGTACTTATTCCACCTCTGGTAGCGTATTAGTCTGAATTGTAGCCACAAAATCAAGCAGAGCTGCATAAAAATAGACTCACAATGGTAACAAGTGGAAAATAATATTTACAAATGTGTACAATGATTTGTAGGTACTTTTGACTACACAAGACACCTGACTTATACATCTGAAGACTGTGTTCATTCTACAATTACATGGGATTAAAGCAAAATGTAGTTTTACTTGTATAATACTTCAATTTTATATAAAAGACAGTTTGTTTTCATCTGTTTTCAAATAAACAAAGTCTTGGCTTTCAGAATATTAAACTTGTTTCGGCAAATTCAGACGATAAATACAACTTTGAAGCTTGTAACGGCATAATTACAAGCAGAGAACAGACTAATGTAACATCACAGCAAGCATAACAACAGTCGGTGTTTCTTGTGAGGGTTTCCCCGGTACACAAACGCAAAAATACACAAACACACTCGCGAGCTTCCCCCAGACCAGTAATACAAACGAAAATGTGTCTTCGGGTCAATGTGACTGATTTCGATAGAGCAAGTCACATTTGGTTTAGGCACGAAACATACTACCAGTAGAAATACATTGCTTTCAAAATCGCTCGGTGTCGAATCAATAGATTATATTTCGTGACTATAACATGAAATGCCGTGAGTGCTTCATCCTCTGAACACCACACGATGGCGACTGTAACGCTCCTCTGAAATGATTGTCCCCTCCAATTATTATTATCCCTCATGGAGTTCGCTATTCAGCTCGCTAACGTTAGCTTAAACAAACGTAACATGCAACGTTAGCCTAATCTAAAATGCTCTTCTACGGCGTACCTTTCATGTGGCTCGTCAGCGCAGACTCTCGCATCGTTATTTTTGCAAACTTGCAGGAGGCTACTCGTGGGCTTGACCCTCGTCTTAGCCATGGCTTGTATTGGTCTTCTGCTAGCCAACGCTCGTTGAAACGGCAACCTCCTGGCACACTGTCATCTATCACTCTCATCAGAATGCCCAGGTCACACGTAACACAAACACTTGCAGGTCGCGCGCATAGCGCGGGAAGGCCGCAGCGGAGCTGTTTTATGTAGAAGCGAAGCAATTCTTTTCTTTTAATCTAAAAAGCGAACTATTCAGTCAGACAGCAATTTATTGTAAAAGTAAAGCATTTACATTTTCAAGCACTTTATCTCAATTTCAAGCACCATTCCCAAAATTCAAGCACTTTCCCAACCTTGAAAACACCACGTCAAATTTCAAGCATTTTCAAGGATTTCAAGCACCTGTACGAACCCTGAATAGTGCAATGATGCAATGATACACTGACAACTGAAAGCAAATGTCTCTCTTACAATAGTGACATGCCTGGAATGACAGAGCAAATTATTGCCACCAGTAGCTCTTGTTCAATACACATACAGATGTGAGGATTGACTTCACATGCAACAATATTAGTGAAGTGCAGTCTTGTATTTTTCATTTACTTGTAAAATACATAATTGTTCTCATTTAACTTTAATATTTTAAATTACCTTACTTAACATTTGGGTACCTAACTAGATGTATATCATCACTTGAGATTAGAGTAGAGTAAGTCTCCATTTTGGGTTTGTCATTCCTTTTTAAACGTACATGACAACTACATTTCATTTTGGAACTTACCAAATCAGCATAAATTGTGACCTTCAGCGGAAACAGCAAACCTGTAAACACAAAGGAAATAAATAAATAAACAAGGTGTATTTAAACTATCTTAACCCAGCATAAAGCACACACCCTCACCCCAGTAGCGTAGGCCGACATTTACTTTAGGGTGGGCCTGTATAAAATAGGGTGGGCCAGCTTTTTCCAGGGGGAAAAATGACTTTAAGGTAGGCCTGGCCTATAATAATAATAATATATAATAATGCCCATTGCCAAGCATCGTTGTAGCATTTCCCTCCGAATAATGGTCGAAGACTTGACTGATGATATGAATTTATTGAAATCTCCAATATCAACGTAAGAGCTATAAAGACACAAAAATAACAAATACATTTAGGCTCCATTCGTATTAGAATCACTTAAGCATACTACCAAAAGTGGGTCCTGTTTTAACTGCTATTACATTAACAGAAAAACCATTAATCATCACCAAATTTAATTTAACACCCTTTCAAACTGTAAATATTGTATCAGACTACTGGTATACATGAAAAACTGCAGTAAATATACAAAGAATAGACACTGAACATGTATTGCGTTCCAGGTGTGATCCATGTGGGGGGATGGGCACATACGAGCGGGAAATGTGTCAAATTGTTCTGTGTGTGTCTGTGTGTGTGTGTGCCAGGTGTGATTCACATGGGGGGATTGGGCACATAAGGGGGACACACACATCTAGAGTATGTGTGTGTGTGTGTGTGTGTATTTATCTGATCCGGATGGTTACCCTGGAACACTCAGATAAAACAAACAAAAAATCGATTTAATTATATAAATAAAATGTAATAAAATGTATATAAAATGAATAAATGAGAATCGTATCTGTGTTGTTGATCTGTAATATTACAGTGTTACGTTGATTTGTTTGTCCTTCTCGGACCATGCTACGCATTTCAGTGGTTTGTTAGAAAAGAAAGCAACCAATCAGATCTTGTTCTGGGTCTCTCCATAGAATATCCTTCAACCAAGGTATTCTACATCCTTGATCGAATGCCCTGGCCGTTGCACTGAATGAGAGCGTACGTTTGGACCAGGGGTGCCCAACCAGTCGATCGCGATCGACCGGGAGATTCCCAGTCGATCGCGAGATGTGTCTAAAAATAGAACAACAACATTCTGTTTTATCGTTAATGTCCTGTAACATAATGTTCCTGTGCCAGAATAATGCACTTGAACGCATCAAAGCTTTGTGATTGGCCGGCGTGACCCCATGTGTCGGGGCGTGGCTAGTGGGCACTATTTCGCTGACGTTGTCCGTGTCAACAGGAGTGACAGTCCGCACACACACAAGACCACAATTATGGCAGAAGCAAAAAAGCCCAAAATATATCATTTTCACTCCGAGTGGGAGGATGATTATTTTTGGATCTATTCCAATTCAAAGTCCATCTGTCTCATCTGCAATGCGAGCGTGGCTTTATCGAAGAAGGGTAATTTAGGAGCGGCATTTCAAAACAGTCCACAAACGCTACGAGACGGAACTCCCTCCTAATTCTGCCCTATGCTCCCAAAAGGGGAGGGGCCTGAAAGGACAGCTAAATGCACAGCAGTCCATTTCCACCAGGCCCAACAACAAGAGCAAGGCTGCTATCATAGCATCTTATCATGTCCGTCACGTTCTTGCGAAACACATGAAGTCTTTCAAAGACGGCGAAGTTGTGAAAGAAGCATTCCTGGAGGCTGCCGACGCGCTTTTGGGGACAGTAAAAATAACAGTTGCATTTCAACAGGTTTTTGACATAATAAAAACTCAAGTTAGATACCATTATTAATCAGCTGTAAGTTTTAGTTTGTTTGAACTTATTCATTATAATTATTGTACAAAATGGTATAAGAATGCAAACATTCAGATCTGTTCTGTTTAAATTGATTATAGGCTATTATCAATTCAGGTTAAGAAACTAGTGTTGCTTGCATCCTATTTTAAAGGCATTTCTTTTTATAATCTACTAAAATGCAACAAAAAAAGGGTTTGATTCTATTAATTTTGTCTTTTTTATTGCACTTTGGCAGCAGATTCCTGAGTAGCTTCAGATCTGAGTTGTCTTATTAGTAAGCCGAATGTATACTTTTGTAGCAACACTATTTTTATATAATGGCAAAGAAAGGGTTCAGAGTTTTTTCTTTTTGTCCTGTGTCATATGTGGCAGCACTGTTCAATGTTTCTTGAAAACATTACCCACTGTAGTATGTGACGTGTGAATAAACTCCAACTCTGTATCAACAACACTGTTGTGTAACTTCAGTTAAATACTTGTATGTGTGTAGATTAGAAAGAGGTAAGATAAAGGATCTGCAGTATTTTATGAAGTATTAATCATACAAAGGTCAGTTTTATACAAGTAGAAGTGTGTATTTACCTGGTAAAGTAGGCTGTCAGTAATGGCTACGCCTCTCTATTTGGACTAGTAGATCTCGGCAGACTGGCAACTTTAAAAGTAGCTCTCGGTTCAAAAAAGGTTGGGCACCCCTGGTTTGGACTGACAGTTTGATCAACCAATCATATATTGATTTGTAGCCAATGGGCATATTCTTTCAGAGTTTCCCTCGGTTCCAGGGTATTCTAGAAGGCCCGCTAGTTAACTGGCTCGAGACAGAGGATCTAGATGAATGCGACGAAGCAATTCATGCCGTTTTATTGTTTTTAACGTTGAAATGACAAGTGCTGTGCAACAGGTGAAGATGAAGTTGTTGCGGAATTGTTGTGAGTACCCTTTTCAAGACCACAATTCAGTGTTAAGACGGACATTATAATGAGGCGGGGGGTGTGTGTGTGTCTACAGAAGGTCCAGTTGTGATAGACACGGTTCGCCACTGACTAAATCATCCAAAATTCAATGAAAGTGGTGATCAGCAATTGTATATGTTCAAATGTCTACTGTGAAGGATATCATAAAGCCTTAACGCAATTGAATGTAAAACAAAAAAGTTATGATTGATGAAAGTAGTAAATCGGACAGATTTGACCCGAAGACAACAGGAGGGTTAATGTGTTTGTTGCGACCTGGCTCAAAAGGCCACAACAAAAAGGAGACACAACATGTCAACGGGTAGGTAAAGGTGTTTATTTGCACAACACTGGTCAATTCAACACATTGGTTATACTCATCAGAGCCGGGTGCCTGCAGGAAAACAGAGCGAGAGCAGACAGGAGCAGAGAGGCTTTAAAATAGCTGCAGAGCACCAGACCCAGGTGCCCTGAGTTAATGCAATCACTGCAATCAATGCAGCCAAGACAGGACAGCCACACCCTCTCCACTGATGAACCCACAGGGGCATCACAGTGTTGCTTAAAATAATACTTCTGCATACAGTATGTGACACTGTCAGTGTTGCACGGCCAGATACGGCTCAAGAAGCTGACTCAGATAAGGAAATATATGATACATTATGATGTGATATGAATGATAATGGGACACATCGAGGTCTGCACTCACAGTGCCGCGGACTGTACGTACTGTTACTCTGATCCGGTTACTTATGTTGTGGCATATATTTAAAGGTGACCTATCATGCATAATGCACTTTTGTACATCTTTTATACATGAATGTGTCCCCGGTGTTCCAGGGAACTCACCAAGTGTCAGAAAACACAACCCTCTCTATTTTCCTCCATACCCAAATCTCTTAAAAAGGGGCTACAACGGATCTGATCCAGACTGATCCAGATTTGAACACTTCTCTGACGTCACAGAAGTGGCGCTACGGCTATTGGGCCAACTCCACCAATCAGGAGGAGACAGCCACGGACATTGCAGTTCGAAAGCGCTGGAGGCGCTGTAGTACATATGCCAGGCCTGTAGATGGTGCTGTTCTCACAGAATCAGCCCATGCAAAGACAGTGTTAAATTGAGCGAAATGAGGAATGGCTAAAATGCATGATCTGTTTGGTATTTTGAAAAATAAAAAGTATAAATATGCCTTATATAGGTATGGTCCTACACTATATTATTCAAATATAGCATGATAGGTCCACTTTAAGTAAGCTTTCTTAACGCTAATGTTATATTAGTCAGATTGCTCTGAAGATGGGAGGTGATATTCTATTATTTTTCCCGTTCACACAGTCAGTTGATTTTTGCCGGCCGTCTTTCCTGCAACGGCAGTTTTATGTATTTCCTTTCTCCTGTAATATGACTTGATAGCTTTAAACTCCCCACACTGAGCTCTGATTGGTCAGCAGGCGGTGCTTTCACTGAGTTGATCTCTTATCCTGGAACCTAACCTGCTCCGGACCAGGCTAGCCGTTCAGCATAAGTTACCATGGAAATCTAGCCTGCTAAGAAGTGAACCAGCGTCGTAGGACCGGAAACTAGGGCTGAACGATTAATCGATTGTAAATCGAAATCACGATTTTAAATCCCCAAATCGTGAAGCCCTACCGGACACCCAGAGTTTTCCCTGAAGTTAGCTCGCTAAGCAAAAATCCGGCTTCGTAGTACAGGCCTCTGGGCTGGGGAAATGTCTGCACATTTTACAGAAAAGCGCGTCCTTACTTGCGCTTTATTCCACCCAGGGAAAATCTTCATACCACCTCAACCAGTTTTTACCGGAAATTAGTTCCGTTCAGAGGATAAAACACATACAACATGAATTCAACTCGATATTTGTTCACTTGAATTTCACTTTGAATGCTTGGATATTCTCAATGGGTGAATACACAAATGTATAATAATAATACAAAATAAATAAAAAATTACACCGAAGCTTTCTCAGGGCGGGCCAATGAGTAAACTGGGCGGGCCTGCCTCAACCTCAAAGCATGGTTAATAAGACGGGCAGTGTGTTACAAGGAGAGTCGATTTGTTTCCCCCTCCCCACTGTTTACAGTCCCGGAGCGGCGTGGTCTGAGTGCGGGTTGCTGCGGAGCAGAGATATACCTTCAGCCCAGGGGCGGATCTACCGCTGCCCCAGCTGCCACCCCAATTGGCAGCTTTGTTTTGAAATAAAAGTTGTGGCTCATCGGACATTTATGAGAAAATCCCTAATGTCCGAGTGC